AAAAAAAAAAAAAAAAAAAAAAAAAAAAAAAAAAAAAAAAAAAAAAAAAAAAAAAAAAAAAAAAAAAAAAAAAAAAAAAAAAAAAAAAAAAAAACCACAGTGGATTAACTTGAAGAAAAGGGAAGGCTTTTGAGAGTCAAAAGATGAAGAGAGCCTCAGAATATGCTTCAAAATACGAATGTGAAGTCCATTTCAGATGAATACAGACGAAAACAAAGGAGCATTATAAGGGGACAGTAGCAAAAGACATAATATTGGACAGAGATGACGCTTATTTCCAAGGGCGATGCTCTTCCAGTGTGTGTATGTAGGTTTTTTTTTGGTTTTGTTTCTGATAATGTTGTTTCAATTCGTTTGTTTTTGATACTTTTGTAAGAAAAAATTTCATCAAAAATATGATGAAGAAGCTGAAAGATGAGATGGGGACAGAAGAATTTGGTTCATATTTACTGACAGTTCCTTTTGTGGATTGGGTGATTGGTCGGCGATTGGTGCGTTTAAGGTTCAAAGATATCCAAAACTTAACTGTCCAAATTCGAAAGATGACACCTAATAGTGGGAGAGGAGTTGCAGCCTACACGCGGCAAAGCTTTCTAAACCCTTTTTTTCTTCGGATTTAAAGCTTTATTTGTTTTACTATTATTATTTAATTTCTTGTCTCTACTCTGTCCATTGAATTTTAAATGGTTGAAAGTATTTTAGATAATATTATTTTAATTTTGATTTCTTTTTCTTTAAAATTCTATTTTGGATTGGATATGAATTGGGTTCTAATTTTTTTTTTTTTTTTTTATATAATAATCTCAATTTCTAGTTTTCGAATTTGGTCGAATTGGTCAGAATAGAATAGAGTTCGAATGATTCAACCTAACCTTCTGTTTTCTAGTTCAGAGTGGGTTGTTTAATTTATTATTTTTAAAAAAATTATAGTTATATATAATATATATTATATTAATAATTAAAATTTCATACATTTTAAATACCAAACATATACAAGTCTATTACTACAAAAGGTTTCCACCATATTTTCAATTATTATTGCCATCTTTTTGGTATCGAGTGTCACAATTGCACTTTTGTCATAACAACACAGCAATTGTGTCTCACTTGTTCTAACCCACCAAACAAATCATCTGTGTTAAATTCAAAATTCAAATACAATATTGGTTTATGTTCGAGTCTCGTGTCAAAATTTAGTGCAACTTATTGATAGTTTGAATTAATCGAGATATTTGTAATTAATTAATTTTTGGAGAATATATTAGTTATAAAATATATTTTAAATTCAATTAATATTTTTTTACTCATATTTAATTTGTAATATATTTTATTTTATTCTCAAAATTTAGTTAGTATCTTGTATAACGGTGATACAATTGAATGAAGAACAAAAACAGAGATAAAACTTGACTGACACAAATGATAAATCAAAGAGAAAAAAGTGGAAAAGTTTTGCCAAAAATGAATCGGTGAGTTGAAACAGAGATGAATCGACAAGATCAGAAGAGATTGAAATGAAATGGCAGCTTGTGATCTTAAATTCATTGAAGATTCATCGCATCGCCACCGCCTGGGATACGCAGAACGAAGCATATAAGCATGCTCTGTTGTTGTCCTACTGACAAACAAATGAATATTAAGAGTCCCAAATGAACAAAACCCAAGAAAAAAAAATGATAGCAAATACAAATAACAAAGGAAGATTTCATCCTTCTCTTCCAAAATTTCCATGAAAACTCAACACTAATCTACAATCCCCAATGCAAACCAATTCTCATCAGCAGCCCTCGCCCACATTCTAAATTTACATTCCTTTTTTTTCTGCTATCAATCCATCTTCTTCTGCTAAAACTCGAAGAACAATAGTCAGAAACCGAGTCCTATACATTTGAATTCCCCTGTCTCCTCCTCCATCTTCAACCACTTAGCGCTCTGCTTTCAACCTCCCTGCCATCGCCAAATCAATTACCATCTGGAAGTTCAGAATGCAAAGCTATTAGATTATGAAGCCTACCATTTGGTCCCAAATTGTCAATGGCCGAACCCGAATCGAACCCCATTTGGAGAAGAGTTTGGATATCACTTTCCAACATCGTCTGCACCAAAATGGTATTCCATTCAACACATTTGCATCAGTTGAGTATTAACTTCAAAGTTGAGTACCTGAGGTAAAGAAGGAAACTGCGTGGATGTGGATGTGGATGCCATATTCGACATCATCCCCTGAAACTGAAACATCCGGTGAGCGGGGACGACCGGAGGAGCTGCGCTCATCCCAGGATGATCAAATCCTAGAACGCTTCCATTGCTGCCTCGTACCTGGAAAATCTACACGAAAACAGAATCAAAATGGTTCATGGACTCTCATTGTATAACAATCTAACCAGCCGACACAATTATGAGCTTACATCTTTGGATAAAATCCTCTCAAGATCGATGTTCATGTCGGGGTTGACAGTAGCAAGTTTCATCGACAAAAACTGCAACAAACCCAACAAAATTCATAATCTCAACCGACATTCAATTCAAATTCTGTTTGAATTTTTAACGCATACCTCAACCTGTTGTTGCAGTGATTGAACATAGTTTATAATTTCGTCAAGCATTACAGCTTTTCCAGTAATCTAGAGACAAAAAACAGATCGAAATTCGAGTGAAAATCAAACATGGAGGAGCTGAAAAGGTCGGCTGGAATTAAAGCAATCCATTACCTTATTGCATCCAGGAACAAGTTCTTGAAGCAATCTCATCCGTTCACTAATCTTCTCCCTCCTCACCCTCTCAGCAAGGCTATGGCTGTTTGTGGCTTGCCCTCTTCTAGCTCGCACATGAATGTAATTTTCCTTGGGAGCTTCTCCACTGTTACTGGACTTCTCTTTAGCTTGTTTTCCAGTTCGTAAATTCTGTTCCATTACTGGATTTTTCTCTTCTTGTGTACTCGAACTTTCCCCAGAAACATCTTTTTTCAATTTCCCTTCAGATTTCTGCCAAAGAAACAGTAAATTCAACGCCATGATTTGAAATCAAAGAGGTAATTGAAGATTTGTGGATGTTTTTACCGTATTTGAGCTAAATGGGAAGGCGGAATCAAGGGCTCGTTTTCTGATTTTACCATTTGGTGATCCTAAGGCAGATTCTTCACCAGATGGTGGTGGTAAAGTTTCTTGTGATGTTTGAGCAGTGTTGGCAGTTCCTCCATTTCTGTAACTTGAAGAACACCCTCCAAGAATCTGATCAGCAAGACCAAAAGAACCGAACATGTCGGAATAATTCCCACTCCCAAAACATGGTAACTTCGTACCCATCTCTAAATCTGTCGGATATTGAACAGTCTGTGATGTGCCACTTCCTCCTCCATGATGATTCTCCAAACCAATAGGAAAGGAATTTGAAAAATCTCGATGTGAGGAAGCCATTGAAGCTGCTCCAAAGCTCTCGCTTTGACCTAATGAAACCAGTGGATCCCAACCAGACCCATAAAACGAACCCATCGCCATTGTTACTGAAGTTCTATCCGAAGATGGACAATTCAGTAACCCATCACTCGAATTTCGAAAACCCATTTCGTCATTTTCGAGATCACCCATTTTCCCCCCTTGCTAGTCGGTTTTACAGTTACTTCCAATGAAAGGAAAACAAAAACGAAAAGAGAAAGAAAATATATTAAAAGGGAAAGGCGATTTTGACCAGAGTTGAGCCGGTGATATCTTGCATGACTAAACAAAGAACAAAATGTAGGCTTTGCAGCTTTATAAGACGTTAAAGTAAAAGCAGCTTCTCAAATGCAGCATCCCCATGAACAAAAAAAGCTAAAGAGAAAGAAGAGAGGGTCTTGTTGAAGGTGTAGAACAAGCTTGCTCTGTTTTACTCTGTTTTGCTCTGTTTTTTTTTTTTTTTTTTACTCTGTTCAAATGCAAAAGGGAGAAGACGAGAAAGTGAAGCTTTGAGAGTCTAAAGTGGAGAACAAACAACGACATTAGCTACACAACAGCTCATGAATGCAGCAAAAGGAAAGCAGATTCGCTTTTAACTTTTGGGTATGAAAGAAAAACATTTTCCAACTTCTCCATCGAATCAAACACCAAAATATGATTGATTTAAGAAGCCTCTCTCTCAGGGTTCTTTTCTTCGGCTAAGAACAGAAAAATCTGAAAAGGGATTCCTGCAAAGTTTCAGGAAATGAAAATGGTCGGTCTTAACAGAGAAGCTATAAAGAGAGACGTAGTAAACCAATGGGTGAAGTTATGAACCAAGAAAGAAGTGGAATTCACGAAATGGGTTGGTTCATGGTTTGCATAAAGGGCAAAGAAAGCATCGAATTCCAACTTTTATAGAACAGAGACAGAGACAGAGACAGAGACAGAGAGAAGAACACAGACATTTGCTCACCTGTGTGTGGACATGTATGAATTAGATATTAAAAGACAAGACATCATAGACTAACTAATGCCAACTGCTCTTGTTGATGCTAAATTATTACACAAAACCTAATCTCTACCTCTCTTTTTTTCCACTTTAATTTTGTATATTACTTTCTCTCTCTTCTGCAGCTTTGAATTAAAATACTCTGTTTTTTTATTTTTTTTTCTTCTTCTCTCTGTTTCTCTCTCTCTCATGCTGCTAATGATAGGAGAAGTGAAGCAGTGGAGAAGGGGAGATGTTCCTCTCTTCAAGCCCAAGCTTGCTTGCTTCTTCCTTTCATCTATACTTTCTCTTATTTAACTGACACATTTGCCTCCCAATTCTAAAAGACTCTTCTTTGCTGTTACACACTCATTTTTTCAACTAACCCCTCCTCTTCTCTTTCATTATTGTTCTACCTAATCTCATTTTAATCTCTTCAATGCTTCTTTTCTTTCTTTTTCTTACTTTTAACCCAAATTTTGATTCTTTTTTTCTCCTCCCCATCTTCAAGGGTTAATCTTCATGAAATCTAGAAAATACTCACATCAATGTACTTTCAAGTCTGTATTTACAGTGTCCTTCATTGTTGTGACATTCAAGTAAATGAATAGTACATAAATGAATCGAAATCACATCCGAATAAGAGTGATCCTAATAATAAGACGTCACATCCCGAATGCACCCTCTTTTTCGGTTGAGAACGTGCTTTACTTGAAGCAATTTTATGTTGGGTGTCTTCATTTTTTAAGAAAGAATGAGCTAGTAACGTGATCCTATCGTAGAGGAATCAAGAAAGGGAATAGTGGGTGATTTAATTTGAGGAGTAAAAGTAAAGAAGAAGTGGGATTAGTTTAGTTTATTGAAAGAATGAGCTGTAATAAGAGTGGTTTGTTTAGGTGATTTGGGTGCTTTATAAGGAATATTGGAATCTAATCATCCAAATTTACTTCCTTGTCCTTGCTCTACCATTTCCAGCTATACTCCATGTCTGCATCTAAATTTCTCCCTTTTTTTTTTATTTTTTATTTTTAATTTCTATTATAATTGTTTAAAATTAAAAAAAAAATAGAAAATTATTATAAAAGGATGCATGATTGTGATGGTACATCAAACTTATCACTGTGCCTTCTCACTCCAAATCATTCCTCTCTCTCTCTCTCTCTCTCTCTCTTCATCCTTTTTTTCAATTTTAATTTCTTCCAGATTTAAAACAGTATCATTTGAGTGATTACCCTCGCATGCCCCAACGCCAACCATACATATATTAATAAATAAATAAATAAATAAATAATTAAATCTCCATTTCTGACTTTGTACATGAATGGTTGGTTACCTCACAGTCTTACATTAAATTAAAACATATTTAACCTTATTTTAATACGAAGCTAGAGGTTCTAACTAGTAAGACCCTATCACAAACATGTACTTAATCTCACGAAGCTTCGTAAATTATTCGTAAATTATTGGTGTGAAGAAGCAATTTTAATTTTTGTGTTACATTTAACTTTTAAAAAATAATTTTAGAGTTAAAATTAAAATTAAAATGATAGGTAGAGTTGAGAAATCTGAGGCGTGCGATATGTGTGGTCCTACTTCACCGTCAATGATGGGTTTGGTCCGTTAAACGAGAATCTCAAAGGATTTTTATTTTTATTTTTATTTTTATTTTTATTTTCTTTCCTTCTCTAAAAGCCTTGATGTCGACTTATGTTAATATCATATCTTATATTTATTTATGTTTTTAATATATGTTCGACTGTCAGTCAATACCTAAAGAAAATCTATTTTCATTCATTTAATATATATATATATATATATTAATGCGTGAATAATATTAAATTAATTAGGGAGTGGGACTTTGTTTTTAAAATAGGCTACTTTGCAAAGCTAATCTCAGCCCATGCTTTTAAAGAAGCCTTTTCTCTTTACATAAAGCAGCCACATTTCTCTCTCCCTATTAGAACTATAAAAGATGATCATTACAACTAAACACTCACTTACGTGCATTAACTCAATTGTAATTATAGAGTTAATTAATTATTAACCAAAGATTAATTAACTTAACGAAGAAATTGATAGATATATTGAAATTTGACAATTAAAATGGCTCTTACATGCACCTAACTACTACCATCATTATAATTTTAAATGGCTCAAATATTAGAATCATTTGTGTTTATTACGTAGGTAACAAAGTTTCGAGTTCTACGGCCTTATATTCTCTTGTTGTCTCATATTATTACTCCACCTATTAGATTTTGTTCATCAAATGGAGATCCTGCACAATTTCCTAAAAAAACTTTTTTTTTCTATTGTCTCGTAATAAATGAAAAATTGAAATAGATTTCTAAAAAAGACTAGAAAGATTGGAGGCCTAGTGTATCTAAATATGGTTCGATTTAGTACATTATTACGTATTTCTGTTAGTCTCGAGATTTTAAAATGGGTCAAAGAGGTTTTCACACTCTTGTAAGTGAGGTTAATTAAAGGTTCAAATCTTTTTATTATTTGTATTATTGAACATTTTTTAATAAATTATTCGACGTGATTGTCACTCTTATAACATCAACTAACTTCTTCGAGCGTGCATTGAATTATATCTATCGAAATGAAATTGGTAATAGGTTAAAAGAGATGGAAGAGAGTAGAAGATGATGAAGAAGATATGGGAGTTGGAAGATGGAGAAAGAGTAATTGAAACACAATCCATCAACTGAACTGAAGAAAGAGATGAGAGTTTAATGATAGTTGTTAAGTGGTTCGAATTGAATGAATGTTCCCACATCCACAAGCTACCATTTTGCATTCCCCTTCATGCGTAACACAATCGCCACTCTTTTCATCTTCATTCAAAAACCAAACATTAACATTAAGAAAAACAAACCCAATCTTTGCTTTGTTTTTAAGAATAATGTTGCATCCTGCTGTCTCTGTTTCTGTACATTACTATCATTTCCCCACCCATCCTCTACCCCTAAAATCCTTTTGGCACATTTTCTTGTGGCTCGTGTTCCTCCCGACGTCATTTTGTCTATGTAAATTACTTATCGTTAGTAAGTATGAATGCGTTGTACTTTTTTAATTACCATTACGGTATAATCATGATTTTTTTTTTAATTTCTCTCATCAATTGATTTTTTTTTTTGGGTTTTTAGTAATAATTTCATTTTATTATTTTATTTTATTTTATTTTATTCGATATTAAATTGTTGTATAAATATTCATGTTTCGAAATTTTAGAGATAAATGTATAATGTTTTTAATTAATAAGTTGTTGAAGTTTTAAAACTCTTGATACAATTATATAAATTTTCAATCGTTTCTTATATCATTATAAAAATGGATTAGTAAATAAATTTATTTAGAAACTGAATTTGTAATTTAATGAAAACTTCCCAAAACGTTAACTTTTTACCTAGCCATGTATTGCTATGGGCGGCCCTCAAAAGAGGGGGAAAGCAATCCGCTATTGGGACCAGCCGACGAGGCTGTTAGACTGGGCCGAAAATCCATACTCTAGGCCCACAAATTTACTGGGCTTTTTGTAGCATTTCGTATAAAGCCCAAGTTCTTTCTTTTTACTCTAGGCCCACAAATTTACTGGGCTTTTTGTAGCATTTCGTATAAAGCCCAAGTTCTTTCTTTTTTCAATTTACTGGGCTGATAGACTGGGCCGAAAATCCCTACTCTAGGCCCACAAATTTACTGAGCTTTTTGTAGCATTTCGTATAAAGCCCAAGTTCTTTCTTTTTTCAATTTACTGGGCTGATAGACTGGGCCGAAAATCCCTACTCTAGGCCCACAAATTTACTGGGCTTTTTGTAGCATTTCGTATAAAGCCCAAGTTCTTTTTTTCAATTTACTGGGCTGATAGACTGGGCCGAAAATCCCTACTCTAGGCCCACAAATTTACTGGGCTTTTTGTAGCATTTCGTATAAAGCCCAAGTTCTTTCTTTTTTCAATTACTGGGCTGATAAACTGGGCCGAAAATCCCTACTCTAGGCCCACAAATTTACTGGGCTTTTTGTAGCATTTCGTATAAAGCCCAAGTTCTTTCTTTTTTCAATTTACTGGGCTGATAGACTGGGCCGAAAATCCCTACTCTAGGCCCACAAATTTACTGGGCTTTTTGTAGCATTTCGTATAAAGCCCAAGTTCTTTCTTTTTTCAATTTACTGGGCTGATAGACTGGGCCGAAAATCCCTACTCTAGGCCCACAAATTTACTGGGCTTTTTTAGCATTTCGTATAAAGCCCAAGTTCTTTCTTTTTTCAATTTACTGGGCTGATATACTGGGCCGAAAATCCCTGCTCTAGGCCCACAAACCTTTATAAGAAATATTTCTCTCTCTTATCTTTAGGAAAGAAACACATAAATTTTCCATACATCTATGGGTGATAGCCAATCCACGGTAACTAAATGTTTACAAGTGTTTCTCTTACCTTCTCAAACTGTAAATAAAGTTTTTCCTAGTTCTTTAAACAAATATAAAATAGTACTTACCTTACTTCCGTAACAATACTAGACAGACATTTGTATGAGCATAACAATACTGATGCTCATACATGAATCATATCATATATCCATATGAGAGAATGTACTACATGATATCCAAATGAATCCAATAAATATGTGAATCTATGTGAGGAAGGTACAAAAAGTATTCATGAATCTGAAAAGTTCATGAACCAAATCTTTACGATAATTCTAAACCGTTTGTGTCGCACAGTAGGCTCAGCTAAAAAAAGTAGGAATGGCGATGTTGATGGGTCTGCACGTTCTAAATGTGACAAAATTATACTCCGAGAATAAAGACATGGTTTTGGTCAAACCCATGCCCTGTTTGTATTATTGGCAATGGCTATGAGCTGCATTTGTACTTGCCATTAGAGAAGGGAAAAAAAAAACAGTAAAAAAGAGCACATTCAATCATTATGAGCCAAAAGATTCGAGGAAAATAAAGTGGATTAGATCCTGATGTTGAGTATTAGGAATCGTGACTCTCCACAATAGTACGATGTCCATTTTTAGCATAAACTCTCATGGCTTTACTTTGAGATTCCTCAAAATGGCTCATACCAATGTAGATGTATTTCTTACTTATAAATTCATGATCATTCCGTAAATTAGCCAACGTGGGACTCCCTCCCAACAATACTCACTAACGATGGAATTGAAGACAATTCATTAAACATTGAAGAAAGATATTGAAAGAAGCTGTCTGTATGTCTCAGACATCATTCCAAACACTTGACATAACAGGCAAAGAAACTGAAGCATTGGAGAAATGTGCCTTGAACTTCCTTGAATCCTTCACCATTGCCGTTTCCACTCCCATTAGATGGTTTAGGTAACCACAGGATGTTACCAACTTTCGGTCTATGGATTCAATGGTTGTGTTTCGATCCAGCAACATCGTGTCGTCGAATGCCGACCTCCAAACTACGTTGTTGCTGTTGGATATCTCCGAGGGGTCGATTCGATCGATGTTTTGTGTCGGTTCTTTGCACTCGATTGCGTTGGTTAGTTTTTGCTCTTTGTTTCGTCTTGCTATTTCTCTTGAAAAAAGGCTACTGCTCGCCATGATCCTTTCTACGTTGTATCTTGAAGTGTCGAAGTTTGTAACCGCGTTTGTGCCACGGAACTTGATGGCTGCTATGTCATATGCTTCAGCTGCTTCCTCTTGTGTGCCTGGACATCATTATCAGATAAATTATGCAAGAAGGATAAATAGCAAAGCTAAAATACTTGTTCTAACGGTCTAAGCCCACCGCTAGTAGATATTGTTCTTTTTGGGCTTTCCCTTTCGAGCTCCATCTCAAGATTTTTAAAACACGTGTGCTAGGGAGAGGTTTTCACACCCTTTATAAGAATGTTTCGTTCTCCTCCCCAACTGATGTAACATCTCACAGTCCCACCTAAGACATAAAATTTAACAACAAGGAACTTAAAAGCAATAGCAATGGCAACAAACCAAATGTTCCAAGATAGAGGTCTTTATTCCCGGCGACTCTTCCGATCCGAGCTTGCCATCTCCCATGCTGATGATGTCTGAAAACAGCAGTAAAAATTCAATCTAGCAAACAAAATGAGTAAGAAAAAGTCGAGCATTGATCGAGTCTTATGAACACACCTAGTTACTCCTCTGTATATTGAAGCTCCCCTGGAGAATCCACTGCTTTTCCTGGAAACCAAAAGCCAGTAAATGAGACTATACACAGAGAAATAAAATCTTGTGGCAACATACTGATACCTTCTCAGATGGGCGACATATTCTTGGCGGTTCATGTTCTTCATTTCTTCAATTTCAACTTGATAATTCTTTAACTGCAAAGGTCCATAATCAAAATGAATCTGAAAACTGAAACGGGTCGATAATGCTATGATCGTATCATACCGGGAAGTTTAAATGCGTGGAGGGTCCCCAGTACTTGAGAGCTGCAAGATCATAAGCTCTTGCTGCTTTCTCCTCCATATCATAGCCACCTGAAATTCAAATTACTATCCATAAACTTCCATGGAATCGACTTCGTTTCACAGAGTTCTTGAACAAAGGCTTACCAAGATAAACTGAAGTCCACACAATTGAATTAAACAGCATCCGTATGGAAGTTGAACATGACATGCAACAAGGAAATGGTTTGAAGTCAAAACATGGATTTGATGAACAGCCAACAACATTGGAGGAACATGACAAGCAACAACGAAAGACAAACCTTGTCTTCCTTTCCTGGTTTGGCCTTCCTTCTTACAACTTTTATCCCACAAATGAGCCTCATATCTACCAGTCCATCTATGTCTGATCAGAAAGAACTATCAAAACATTACTAACATACATAGGGGAAAAAAAGAAGCAAGAAACTTAGTTTAGAACAACCTTGAAACACCTCTGTACTGTGATGTTCTTTGTCCGAACGAGTCGATCGACTTCCGGTGCACCGGCTTCTTTCGACCAAGCAAACCCCTTTTCTTTGTTTCCATGGTGGCGGTAACACAACTAGAATGAGAACGAGGACTCATTGACAAGCTAAGCGGCTCTATGTCTTGGCTACTCATCCGATAGATACGCTGCTCCAGAGCGTGTCGAATTTCATAGCTATGGCTTGCAATATGAGACTCCTTGTTGGCATCCTCAGCTGGAAACTGGAACATTCCAAAAAGAATATGTTGCTCTTGTTGCTTAAAAAGATTCAAACAATGTTGCCTCTCTGAGACAGCATCAGCACCATCATTTTGATTGTAGTATATGCTGTCTAAGCTCAAAGCTGTGGCCTCTCTTCCATGATTTGCACTACCAAGAAAGTCCTCAAACTTTGGTGAGATATTTGGCAACATTTCTACACATAAAAAGGTAAAATCTAAATCTTTTCTTTAAGAAACTTCATCAGATTGAAGCTTTGACAGAAGAGAAAAGAAATAGACCTTGAGGTTGTAATGTGCTGAGTGACTCCATGAAACAAAGAGATCCATCTAACTTGAGTGGCATTACAGACAAGGGAGAAAGCAAATCACCATTATAATGCTGAGAAGCTAAGAAACTAATTGACATGGCGTTAGAACTTGCCTGGCTTTGGCCTTGGTAGATCACTCTACGCTTATTCTACAAAAGTTGTCTACTTGTGCAAAAGTTTCTCGAGTGTTTTGCTGCTAGTTGATATTGAAGCAAAGCAACTCAATCATTGTAGATAAAATAAGAGGCGATGTTTCTGAACGAGATGAACAAACAAAAAGAAACTAGAAGAGAAAATTTCCCATTTGCATAGGGATTCGTGTAATTAAGAAGCCGTCATCTCATGTTCGACGGTCTTTAAATTGTTCTTCAAATGGGTAACTCAAACTACAGAAACCCAAATCAAAAAAATCAAACAAATTACAGATTGAAGCCAGGTGGGTCTTCTCTGAAGCACCTAATTTCTCAGTGATGCTGAAGAAAATCGATGCATTATTGGCCACTTTTCTCTCCCCAATTACAGAAGGATGCTAAATCAAGGAGTTGATGAAGGGCAGAGAGCGGGGCAAGCGGGGGTCAGGTAACCAAAATGGGCATTTCCTCTTTATTGTATCCATTATTTTGGTTGCTTTATCAAAGTGGCAGTGCAGAGCAGGTCTGATGGATTTGACGAGCAGAGCGTCTGAGGTTGGTGTCTTTTTCGTAGTATGGTGTGCAGATTGTTGGGCGTGTTCTTGCAGTCCAAATGATCTCATCTATCTAACTTTAAATACTGCTCCAGTCTTCGTTTTCATATTTCATTTCCAAATCCAACAGGAAAAGGTGTCGACAGAAGATCCAGCAAGAACACTGTTTTATGCGGTGGCCACAGAGGGCTGAGGGTGGGGATGGGGCCATCTCATTCCGCCTTTCCTGACTTTTGAGCATTGACATTGGGGGCTTGGCAGCTTACTGTGTGCTGTGTCTATAGACAATTTTATTCACTTCTACACTTTTTTGTTGGGTGAGATTTGAAATGTATATCAAATGTGAAAAGGTGATATATATATATAGTCAATGAGGTTGGTATTTCTTGCAATAATCTGATTATAACTCCGTGTTAGCTCCTCGCCGAGATGAATTATACATGTGGTATGTACTAGTTTCAATATTTTAAGTTAGTGTTTAAACTAACGTGGTGTCACACCGAGATGAATTATACATGTGGTATATACTAGTTTCAATGTTTTAAGTTAGTGTTTAAACTAACGTGGTGTCTAAGTGAGTTAGAATAATATTGTACACTTCATTTAGTGAGATTGATCCTCTCTTATAGTAAGTAGGGGAGCTATGTGTCACAATCGTACTCTACGGCAGCGGAATAACGATTGTTCAACACTTGTTCTAATCCAAACGAACAAGTTGGTCGTGAGAAATTCGGGCTTCATGGACAACATTAGCATATGCTTAAGCCTCAAATCATGTTTGAAAAGAATGTTTTAGAAAACGTGATCAAGAAAATACGTTGAAAACAATTTGAAAGAAAATAATGTTATAGGCTAGAAGCAATTAGGTAACAACAACAATTTTAATAACATATAACTCGGGTAGAAAGACGTGACAACTAGTCATATCTCCTAAAGTACATTTTGGGGTATTTTAGCTCCGACGGTTGTAGACATGATTTAGGTGAACGACCGTACACCCCCATATTGACACAACATGAAATGGTAAATGTTTATCTAAGATGAAAGCATGCAAAAGGGATTTGGAACGGGCATGTAGCCATGGACAAGCATAACCGAGACATCTGACATACAATCATAGACAACACGCATTAGACAAGCATGACCGTGACACTATGCATACCTCAACTCGGGCTCTATTGAACACCAGTTGGTTTCATGACAACTATTCAACTTAACCCTCCTCAGGCAAGCATGACCGTGACACTATGCATACCTCAACTCGGACTCTATTGAACACAAGTTGGTTTCATGACAACTATTCAACTTAACCCTCCTCATAATACCCACCCGTGGTTAATTCTACCATTAAACTTGTTACATCGAACGCCTAGGTGGGTTTTGGACTCTTAAGCTCTACATCCTTCCATGCAAGCTAGTTTTCAATTCAAGTGGGAACTAAAAATGATGTTCAATTACATTTCAATACTTAATATTGAAAAGAAAAAAAAAAGTTAAATTTTAATACTTATGGTTTAAAAGTTATAATTCTATACTAATTTTCATAATTTTATCCTTATAAAATAATGGCTGTCCTTCAATAAATTGATTGAATATGGATCATTGTTGGTTGGAACATAGGTAATTAGGTAATGAAGTGGGCAAACTAAAAGTGGCCCAAGCTTTTTGAGGTTAGAGTTGTTTTGTGGTATTGATCTCACCAATGGAGTCATACTAGCAATGTGCTACTTAACTTGTTAGGCTATATGGAAGACCCCACCCTCTTCTACAGACCAGACCAAGCCTTCTTGTCTCAAATGTTAATAAAAGATATTAAAAAAAATCTAAAACCACTGTAACAGTTGCCTGAGTGTTCCACACAACCATGAATTCACAAGCAGATAAAAAAAAACAGAGATTAGAAAAAATATAATAGAAAGAACTGGACAAATCTACAGAATTTACAAGCTAAATGCCCTCAGAACAAGATCAAGAGCAAATCCAATCATAAAGCCCAAGTTTCCATGTACAAAACGGATCCTTTCAAGCTCTATCCTTAGCATGAAATGGCACTGCGTCAGCCGACATATTTTTCTGTGCACGAGTGGGGGGCTCAACCTTTCTTCTCGCATCAGCAGTTTCATATCCAGCCACCGGAGTAGATAGCCCATTGCTTGAATACGTTGGATAAACTAGAGAATTTTTATGAGGTGGAGGAAACATTCCAAAGAAATTTGGACCATACCATGCAGCTGGTGAAGCCATGGGACCAAAACTGGGGGAAAACCAATTCCCATAGGGGTCTGAGCCATATAAACCAAAACCTGGTCCATAAGGTGGAAAAGGTGTAAAACCAGGATAAACTGTATAACCACAGCTATAATATGGGTAAGAGGGAAGAACATTGCTTTCAGAAAGAGGGCTTTTGGAAATATGGCCGCCATTGTAGTTCCCCTTTTTGGGGATGGCTCTCTTCACCTCCACACGCCTACCATTTAACTCATGAAAGTTATTTTGAAGAACAGAGTCAACAGATTGTACAGAATCAAACGTGATAAATCCAAATCCTCTAGGGCGTTTAGTTACACTATCACGCATCACGACTACGTCAGTTACCCGACCAAACTTTTCAAAGTAATTTTTGAAGTCATCTTCAGTCAATTCAGCCGATAATCCTCCAACAAAAATCTTTCTGCCCCTAAACTGATCTTCCATCCTAGTACCATTACTCATTCTTTGATCTCTAGCTAGCTCCACAGTTTCTTTTCCTACGATTGTGGACGAAAACATAATAAATCAGCCAAATAATAGAAGGATGTGAATCACAAAAAAATTAACTTTTCCAGTAAGCCTTCACCTTCTTGAATCGATCAAATGCCCTAACTCATGAACCGTAAACCATACTCTATATAAAATTAAAGATGATTTTTACATCTTCGGCGGCCTCCACAAAATTCACACAAAAGAATTCTAATTAGTCCTAAAACCCTAATTGCACTAAAACCCTAACCATTGCCTCAAAACAGATGANATACCAGTCAAACTGTCATGCGAGCAAAAAAAAAAAAAAAAAAAAAAAAAAAAAAAAAAAAAAAAAAAAAGAAGAAGAAGAAGAAAATTACGGAGTATATTGTACCTTACTTTTTACTTCGACAGTGCAGAGATACAGGAGAATTTCAGCAAAACGCAGGGTAGAGACAGATGCCGCGTTGAAAGCAAGTGGCCGAATACATCAAACAATCTGTATTTAACCAATTTTTTCCCCCAAAATTGGGTCTACAATTATTGTGAAGCCCTAACAGCAGTTCCTTTTTTATTGTTAATGGGCCTGCAGCTATTCATCAATGGGCCTGTACGAAAATGTTTTATATAATATGAGTTTACATAAAATGTAGTCTTAAATTATTTAGTTTTTTTTTTTTTTTTTTTAAATTTGTATCCATTATATGTTTCTAAAAATAATTTAATTTAATTTATATTTATTTTAAAAAATTAAAATTTAATTGGATTACTTTACCTATTTGAGAAGATATTTATGCAGTTAAAAAGTGCTTTTTTAAAAATAAACCTACAAACTTATTTTTATTATTAAATTAAAAATTGCATTAAAAAAAAACCTATTCATTTTTAGGTCAAATTAATATTTACTTTAGTTAATATGGATTAATTAAAAAAAAGAAAACCACTCGTGGGTGAAGGAGTAACAACGGCAGCAGAGTCTCTGAACTCCTTTCCAAGGAATCACACGAATGAGGAAATAAAATGTTAAAATGTTGATAACTTAACACTGAAATCACATCCTCAAATATATGGCTTAATTTAATTTAATTTCAGTTAGTTGGAGCGAGTTCATCAATCGTCTCTAGCAATTTTGTACATTTGAAAGCCCAATCGGAGCTGCCAATAGCTAATATAGATATCTTGATTGACAGACAATCAGCACTCGATTAAGCCCAATACCAAAAATTACATATATAAATATGTATGAACACCAAAAATCGAGCAAACCTAACACAGTCGCATTGATTTTTCAATCAGCCATGGCGAGTTCGAGTTCTCATCCACTGGACATTGATTTCGAACTCCTTCAAACGAGGACGAAGGTGCCATTCTCTTGGGAGGCCAAGCCGGGGGTTCCGAAGCTGCAATCGCGTTCCAGCCCTAGCGTAAGCACGTTCGAGAGATCGGCGTTGAAATTGCCTTCGCCGCCGTACCGATCGGAGAGTGCTAGGCTTCCCGATGACTACGGTGAGGCGATCCCCTGTTCTTCTCCGCGAGCGAAGAGTGCGAGGATGGCTAAGGAACATTTGTGGCTTGAAGCTTATTCCGACGACTTTGGATCGTCTTTTGGTTTCGGGTGCTGTAAACGGGATAGTTTGAAGGAGAGAGATCCTTTCGATGAAGCCTACAAGGAATGCACAAACGGCCCTTCGAAGAACCGTCGGCCAATCGGCGGCGGTTCTGCAACAAATGGTGTTAAACGTCCTGGTATTAGAAGGTTACTTTTTTCACTTTCACGGAAGTGCTGCGCTTCATCCCCGTGACTGGGAGTTTTTATTTTGAAGAGATAAAAAATAATTATTCTCTCGATTGGCAAAGGTAAGATTCCTTCCCAATCCTCCATTGAACAAAATACATGACAGAGTCTCTCTTGAAATTTATGGAGCCCTCGAACAAAGTACATATTTTAGTAGACACTTGAAAATTCGATTAACATGACTAAGTTAA